ATTCTTGAAGAACATTTTTATAAAGTAGATAAGTATGTATCAAAAACTACGATCGATGATCTTTCCACTCGAACTCAATTAACGCCAGCTCAAATTCGTATTTGGTTTAATAATAAACGTACAAGAGAACGTCAATAATTAATTTTCTTTGTATTAACTTTTTTTCTTTTAATTATAATAAAATAAAATAACTTACTCTTCATTCCATTCTCTTGATGTTCGATGAAAAATAATCAATTGATTAAGACTTTTAACACAACCAGCAAGAGTATGAAGTTAAGGTTCATGTTGAGCATCTTCATATGATGATATAATATTTAATGGTTTACTTGCAATGGCTTGATAAGTTAACAAATTACACAAAGACAACATATTAAAGAAAAAAACTTTGCACGAACAATTCATCAAATTAATCAACAAGAAAAAATGAAAACTATTTCAAAATAAATTTATCAATAGATTTTACTCTTCCGGGACAGATAGTACACAGTATAGACCCTGGAGTTGTTCAAGTGTAGGGGAGGATGAATCTATGTTTTATCGATCCCCACGGACACCCGAAGCTCAAGAGTGAATCTAATTCATATGAATTTTGAATCTTATTGAGTTTTAATGAAATAAAATATAACGAATTGGTTCTAGAAATAATTCCGTTCTGAAAGAATTAAGATATTTTTATTGATATAATTTTATTTCTAGTCAAATAAAAAATATAGTCTTGGAAATCATCACGTGAAGTAACAGATCAACAAGTTTGTTTTTTTTGCTTCTCTAGAACTTATGAATTGTTTTTTTTGTTGTTAGGATGATATTATCAATGGTTATGTTTATTCAATAACGAATGAAAAATGTGAAAAAGGTTCAATTCAAATTGAATATAATTCTGTAGTCGATAAATATTTACATAATGGAATTGAAGAAACAAAAAAAGATGGTTGGATTGATCGAATTTATGTATGTTCAAATATTCAAAGAAAAATTGAAAAAGATTGGAAAATGGTTTATTTATGTAGAGAACACTTACATACAAATGGAATTCTTTCATGGACTATACAATTAAAACCTGAAGAAGAAAAATTTTACCAGTTTCATCATATAACTATTCAATGTCCAACAAAAGCTTTTGATCCATAGACTCAAATTATTAATATATCACAAAATTTATCTTCAAACTCATTATTTGAATATAGTTTAGATAATAAATTAGATTCGTTAATAAATAATCGAATAACTTTCAAAGTTTTTTTAAATTGTTTAAATGATAATAATGCTTGGCAAAAAGGACAATTATTTCCTCATTCAACTAAACAAGTACCAAAAGATCCTTTCTACAAGTTACTAAAATTATGAATAGCTTTTATTAAATTGATAGTTATCTATTTTTATCTATATTTCTAAATCAATTCCTCATGTATACTTATCCACGGATGTATCCAACAAACTCTCTATTAGTAATATATCAATTGAACAAATATTCTATTTTGTATAGATTTGATATTATCATCAAATTCATTTTTCAATATCTACGATTCTTATGATACTTTATGGAATCACGAAAACGAAATCATAGTAAATAAATATTAATCATCACAAGATCGTACCTCATTTTCTTCATAAAATAGATTCTTATTTCTCTTAGACAAGAATTTTGTTGTTTCTAAAATATAAAGATAAAGAACTATTCTGTATTTTTTTATAATAATAAACCTAAAAAATCAAGAAAAAAACTCTATCTCTAGGAACTAATATTACTAATAATAACTAAATTAATTTCATATTTGATAATTTTATTCAATATATTTTTTATTCTGTGCAAAAATAATGTTTTTAAAAATAACAGTCACATAAAAAATAAGGACATAAGTAATGAAAATAATATAAAAATAATAGTTGAAACTCTTATTTACTGTTTAAGAAATGCATGTATTGAATGAATTCTTACAGAAAAACGATCAAGTAAACATGAATCTGTTTCAGAGATGCTTTCTTTTACTTTCGTTATCTAAAACAAGATCACACAACTGACAATGTTTTAAACTTCGATTAAAGAAATCATACAATTTTAGATGTGATCAAAGAACAAAAGAAAAAAGTATCTCATGAGAATGAAAATTATAGACATGGAAGATGTTTTTTACTGTAACAGACATTTACAAAAGAAACATTTCAATACATTTAAATGAATAAACAATTTAAAACAAAAGCAATGTATTTTTGATTTCAACGACACAAACAAGTGTTGAGAGAAACAGTTTTAAGCTCTTTCAGCGAGAAGAGTAATGTGAGAGTTAATGGAAAAAAAAGAGTAAAGAAAAATTATTCATTGTTGTGCATACTTTATTTTTTCATTCATCACACAAAAAATAATGCGATCTATCATCGTCTTGTTTTTCAGTATATCCCTTTCATTTGTAAAAGGTTTGTTAGATTATCTTTTTCTCTCATTCTACCACAATATAAATAAATTTTATAGGACAAACGACACAACTACCTAATTATTCTTGTAGTGAAAATAATGCTTCTATTCAGTTTACATTATCTTCATTAGCTCATTCAGCTTCAAATCCAGCATCAAGTTGTTCTTTACAACAATGTAATACAAGCTTGAATGATAACAATAATTGTCTTTCATCATCAACACCTTGTTATGATTATCGAACAATAAATAATATTAGTTATTGTGCACCTGGTATTTTATGTTCAATATTAGAAAGATGTAATAATATTACACAAACATGTTCATCAAATGATTCAGTGTGCGTTATTAATTCATGTTGTTCACCACAAGCAGTATGTTTACCATTCTTAGCAAGACTAATGTGTAACACAGGTAAGAATACATATTATTTACATTTGAGAGGTCATCACACTCAACTAGAACAATTTATTTTAGTCAGTTATAGATAATATATCATTCATTTGTATAAAAACTCTGTCGAGTAATACTTTTGTTATAGTGAAAATAGATGGAATACTATAGATTTGGGATATCCATTGTCAATTAACAAGAGGAACGAATGAGAGATGAAGAACTGAAGTATATTGAAGTGTTACCTCAGTTTAGTTAGTGAATGATACGTTAATACAAGCTCATATATGATTTAGTTGGTAGAATAAGGGATTATAGTTTCATAATAAATCAATGTTGTTTATGTTTTGTGTTTGAGCTGAAATATTTTGTAGAACAAAATTTTGTAATACATATCGATGTTTATATCTGTTGCATTAAATAGCAGCGTAATATGAATAAACAGATTGAAGTATACAAATAATTCTGTTATATTATCTTAAGTAAAATTTTTATTTTGCTGGATTTCATATTTTTATTTATTCCTCTCTTTTCTGTTGCTGTTATTGTTCTAACAATATTAATTTATGGTTATGTTATACTTATTGTAAAATAGATAAATTATCTGAGATGAAATTTAGGAACAAATTATATGTAAAGATGAATCAGTTTTGATAGAGAATCTAAGATTAATGTTCTGTGATTAGCAGTTATCTCATTCATGTTGCCTTGATTGATGAGATGATCGAGTGAACTATAGAATTAGACATTAAGTACTATCTTCATCTTTAGACCAATCTTTTATCTCATGTTTGGAATATTTGTAAAGCTTTGTTTTTTCTATGATACTGTTCATTACATAAAAAGATGTGAATGGTGAATTGAGGAAAAACTGTTATGTCAATACCATTAAGTAGAGCATTTGATTAGATATAAAACATCGCTGGGAATAAGATGAAAAAGAACTAAATAATATAATTTATGTGAAATAATGAAGAACTAACAATGATTTGATAGTTAACAATAGAAAGTGTCAGATCAATCACTCATTTTCTCACTAGTTTATACTGTATATCAGTTTCAGTGATGAATGCTATGTAGTCCTTTCTATACCTATGTATAGATTATTGAAAAGAAAATGTTGTGAATAATTCACTATTTTGATTGTGATATCCAAAGAACTATGGAAGAGCTGATGCAAAGTTTATAGTTTTTATTCTATTGAATATCTTTCGATCAAAACTTGTAAAATTTATAGATAATCCGAAAATACATCAATTAGTGTAACTAGCATAGTAACTAATTTAAGACAGACATTTTTTATATATTTGATTAAGATAATAGAGGAAATAAATAATATAGAAAACTGATGATGTCATAATAATATTTGAAGAGAATTTGTATAATACATTTGACTACTATTTTCGAACTACATAAGTTTGAGGTGATATAAAACAGACATATTGAAGACTGTCGTTTTTAGAATAATGAAAAATTCTGTACACAAGAGTGATGAATGCTGATTGTTTTGTGATCTAATATTGTATAGTCTAAATATATAAAAATATAACTTTTAGGATGGATTTCTACTGGCAACATGAGTGATGCACGATATATGCACACAGCATCTGTGTTATCAAATGGGAAAGTATTAGTTACTGGTGGATACAATGGTAATGTTAATTTAAATAGTGCTGAATTGTATGATCCATCAACAGGTATTTGGACAACTACTGGTTACATGACTACTGCACGAGCTTATCACACAGCATCTGTATTATCAAATGGGAAAGTAT